TTGTATTCATTAACGTTAATAGACTGACGTTAATTGGAAGATTATAATATGATTGATATATCGATGACATAAAACGTACAGGAATTCGTCATGCATGTAACTTGGAAAAAGACTGATAAGGTGGAATTAAACTACATCTGATTTAAAGTATTAAAAGTACCAGTAGCTTAAAACTTATAGCAAAACATTTTTTTGAAGTAAAACTTCTTTAGGCGCGTCTAGGGTGTAAATCCGTCAATACGGGCCGAGTGTGATTAGTCGTCGTGTATGTGAATAGAAATCTGTCGTTGTATGCGTTCAGATATCAACAAGGAAATCGGCATAGATAAATAAACATTTTAAAGTTTCATCGTGGTATAAATCTTGATTTAATAAAAAATGCCTGAATCAGAAGAATATTAAACCCTGTTCCTTGAAAATAATAAAACAAATCAAACGTTTGTGCCCGTATTGATTAGAAATTATTTTTATATTATTTGTAGTTTCTATAAATCTTCGAAGTTATTCAAATGGAAAATAGTTTTTAGGCAAGACAGATATTACAGCTGTTCAGAGAATGAGATTATATCGCCAGCGAAAAAGTAACTAGTTGGTTTGGTATTTAGCCTTGAGGCAAGTTACATGAACTTCCCGATATGTGTAAATAATCGACTTGATCAAAAAAAAATGTGTAAATATTATAATATACTTCATCAATCCTACTTAAAAAAAAAACGATAATAATTTTAGCAAAGTTTGACGAATTTTTAAAATTAAACTACTTGTCGTAAGGCCGCAATATTACAGTAAGTTCTATAAGACCATGATGTATATCGCCAAAAAAAAATTCCATTTTTTTTTCACTTTTTTTTCAAATTACAAAGAAACGGCTTGGCAGATCGTCGCACAAAACTGACAAACGATAGTCCTCATCTAGATACATCAAATGGCTTTTAAATTTCTGAAATCGGTTCAGGCGTTCTTGAGAAAACATCGATGAAAGGTCTAATTTTGACAAACGCCAAAAAAACGATACCAATTTTTGAAAACTATGACGAATTTTCAAAGCTAAACGAGTTGTCGTAGGGCCGTAATATTTTAGTATGATATGGAAGACTATAGTATCTACCGTTAAAAAAATAATAATAAAAATCGTCGAAAAAATCTTTTTTAACACTTTATTACAAGAAAACGGCCCGGCCGATCTTTACCAAAAACTAATCAGCACGATTCCCAATCAATACCTTTCGAACGGTTTTTGAATTTTCATAATCGGTTCAGAATTGCGGGCTAAAACGTGCACGAAAAATTTTTCACTTTTCTGCTATTTATAAAGTAACGTCTCGGCTGATCGTTCCTCAAAACTGACAAACGATAGTCCTCGTCGAGATACATCGAATGGCTTTTAAATTTTTGAAATGTCATCTTGTACAGTTGCAAATAAGTTTTACTTCAATCGCGTGTGAATCTTACTGGCACTCATTATTATTTTTTATTGGCCTCTCTTAGAGCATTTAGCCATACCTACATCGTTTCGTTTTACATTTTACTGGTTTCATAAGAAAATCCGATTTGCTAATTTTATGTTTTCTCGACGTTTCAAGCCATTCTGAATCGAATGAGACCAAATTTGGAAAATGTATATGTGTGTTTGTGTGTGTATTATGTACTTTATGAGATTGATGAGAGTCCGAAATAATTATCAGTATTCACAATCCCATGGTATCAAGAAATGTACTGTCACAGTTTTTAGTCATTTAATTAAAAAAACCTCTACCAGTGTCTTTTATCCTTCGACAGCAGTTTTCGAGCCCCCGGCAAATTGTCGAATAGGCAGTGTCTTTGTCCCATTGAGAGTTTGCGAGGGCTCGGCCGCCTCAGCCAATAGCCCGAGCCCGAGCCCGAGCCTATTTATGACGTGTGCCTTGTCACGTAGTGTACGTGTGTACGAGCCGCACCGCAGGTCGAATTATCGACACTCTTTGCTAATTTTATTGTAGAACGGCGGCCTGCGAAAAATTTGCTCAATTCATCGAATTATGGACCTGCCTGAAAGAATTTAAGACAAAGATTTGTTTGAGTTGAAATGAAATTGACTAGGTGTAAGTGGCATTTTGCCTTAATGCAAGTTGCATTAACTTCCCCAAATGTGTATTAATTGACTTTTTCAACCGATGGATATTTAGATTGAATTTTCTACTGTTTATTTCAAAAACAATTTTTTCGCTTTCCTTAAAATCTAAACATTACCAATTGATATCTTTTAAGCACATTTATAATATCTGTAATTATTATAGTGCGCAAAAATCCTAAAATTGAAACTTATCATTTCAAAATTTAATCTTCTATATATAAAAATAAGTCGGGTTTTCCTTCCTGACGAAATAACTCCAGAACGCACGAACCGATTTTGACAATTTTGCATTCGTTGGAAAGGTCTCGGCCTCCGCAAGGTTTATAGCTAAGAAAATTATTGGTGCATGGCATCGTGCCCTAATGCATATTGCTGGAACTTCACGCACCGCAATTAAAAATTCGAGTAATAAAAATAATCAATAATTGTTTTAAATAATTGCAAATAGATTATTTTCTATATATATATAAAAATAAGTCGGGTTTTCCTTCCTGACGAAATAATTCCAGAACGCACGAACCGATTTCGACAATTTTGCATTCGTTGGAAAGGTCTCGGGCTCCGCAAGGTTTATAGCTAAGAAAATTAGTGGTGCATGGCATCGTGCCCTAATGCAAATTGCTGGAACTTCACGCACCGTAATTAAAAATTCGAGTATTAAAAATAATCAATAATTGCAATTGTTTTAAATAATTGCAGATAGATTATCTTCTATATATATAAAAATAAGTCGGGTTTTCTTTCCTGATCAAATTTTTCCTTTTCGAATATAAAACAAACAAAAAATTTCTTCATCCTACTCACGAAACCATTTGGTGGCGAAACGGAGTTCGACGGGTTTGCTAGTTAATTTATATAATTCAACCAATTTTCGTAGGACTGTTTATTGCATAAACTTTATCGCCATGTTATTTCAGGAAAAACATCGAAACATGTTTTTAAAAGATAATTAGTAAATAATTTTGTGAAAATATTAGACATCTGCTATACGAGAATCGATCACATTTATCAAGTCCTTGATATCATTTATTCATTTAAATTAATGGTTACATTTTCTACTAGAGAAATTTTGTAGACTGCTCGTTAACACACACACAAATAAAGAATAATTATCAATTAATTTCTGTAAACAATGCACAAATCCATAAACTTGATATATAGCAAGATGTTTGCGAAAACGGTTACAAAAGAGCACTTTTCCCCTGGTTTTAAATTAGTGAAATTTATTCAGCCGTTTTTGAGAAAACGTTAACGAAATTTGAATTTTGACTTATCCATCACAAAAGCGTTTTTTGACATAAATTCGCACTGTCATATTTTTTCAAACTTTCTATCATTTGTGATAGAGTCGTAAAATTCTAGTTTGGGTAATATGACCACGATCTCTATCATCATAAAAAATAACATTAAATTTGCCCTTTTTTTTCAAACAAAAGTAACGGCTCGTCTGATATTTACAAAAAATCAGCATGATTCTCAACCAATATCTTACAGTTTTTAAATTTTGAAAATCAATTCAGGATTGTATGCTAAAAGTCGACATTTTTTTCTAATTACAAAGAAATTCCTAATTACTTGACCGATCATTGTGCAAAGCTTATCAACGCGGTTCCTTATTGCGATACATTAAATGGCTTTTAAATTTTTGAAATTTGTCCAGCCATTTTTGAGTAAATGTCGATGAAAAATCGAAAATAGACTCACGTACACACACATACTTTTAGTCCAATTGTTGGTTTCATCTGATTCAGAATGACTTAAAACGTCAAGAAAACATAAAATTAGCAAATCGGATTTTTTGGCACAAACATAATGTTCTCCTTCGGCAAGTTAAAAGCGAGTAAATTTTTACACATTATTTATGCCTTCTTGGATAACGCTATTACTTATAATATTACTTTAAATTGCTTTCGACCACAGCCGAAGTAAATGTTGCAAAGCGTTCAGTTTTTCTCATCAACATCATCATACATTGTTGAACTAAACGTAGTTTATTATCGTAAATGCATTCTCGATTTGCGGAGAAAATTATATTCGAGCCGTATTCATTCCTTGTGGTTTCATCTGGAGAGATACAATTTAATAGATATTTATAAAAGTTTCACTTGGTAATCAGCCAAATGAATTTGAAATTCTAAAATAGCAGGAAAAGTTTAGAATTTTGAGAGAATATTAAATCATTTTCTTTTGACCATCACTTAAAAATATTAGGTTGTCAAATATCTCCCTTCCGCTTTTTTGCTCTTGGTTTATAATACAAAAAGGCGGAAGGGAGATATTTGACAACCTTAGTTAATCAAAAAAAAAATTTAATAATGTTTATAAAGTACTTCTCATAGTTGATGGATAAAATAAATAATATATCCTAAATCGTATTATCAATTAATAGGATAAATTCTATGACCCAACAAAATAGACTGATGTTGTGCCATAAGCGTGTATAAGAAATAAAGAACTTAATTTGTAATACAGAAGAAATTATATGAAACACTGGTTTGATTTAGAAAGTTTATTTAGAAAGAATGATTAAATGATTTTTGTATGTTTGTTGTTCGCTTCTTGAAATCTGCAGTGTAAGAGAGAACTAAAGATCTGTTTTTGCGATAAGGAAACCTCGGTCTGTCTGTCTTCGGGGATGCTCGTAAAGATTCGGTCCATAGTGCATAGGCATAGATGGGACCTGTGCATCTTATATATTTAAGTCGAAGCTGCATCGGGGAAATTATGCATAACACTGATAATTATGATAATTATTAGAAAATTGGTTTGATTTATTGATGACATGAATGCTTTTTTATACATTTTTTTATTTTAAATTTACATTTGCGACATTCACGTGAAGACATATTAATATTGTTCACAAATAAATTAAATTGTTATATTTCAGATAATTATTGAGGTCGTTCATTAGGCTTTGCTAAGGACCAGAACAGCAGATAAATGATATTTCACCTGATAACAACTACTTGATATTGCAGAAACATGTGAGTAATTTTGCACCTGGTCTATACAATATATTATACATACTATATTGATAACTTATCATTTATGTTAAATTAAATATGAACACCTGTGTGTCATTTTATATCAAACTATTATAAATGAGAATACAAAAATCATTCATGATTCAACCTGTTTGAATGTGACTGAAGAGCTAGTACTGATTGTGAGATTTTTAACTAACTAGCTGTAAGTGGAATTCTGTCTTAAGGCATTTAAGGCATCGTGCCTTAAGGCAAATTGCTCGAACTTCCCGTACCAAATATTATTATTTTTTTAAAAACGATTAACATTCTTGAAAAAAATTTACTTCGAAAAAATAAGATTTTTGAGAAACTATAAATTGGACAAAAAATTACTTTTTTTGAAAAAAAAAATTTTTTTAATTTTTTTTTTTTTTGAAAAAAAAAATGTTTTCTTTATTTTGACATATTTTGAAAAATCTAAACTTTTTTTCAAAGCAATCGTACGGCTTTAACTGCATATGGAGACAAAATATAAAGCGCGTAAGCGCCGCGTCGTCGTCTAACGGATAAACATTGATACGGAACCCATAGGAATGTAAACAAAATTTATACTTATTGTTAAAATCTCTATAAAATATCTGATAAATTTGATGTGCATATGTCTAATGTTCATTTTTGACCGCCAAATGGCTCATTTTTTTACTTTTTCCCACATATCTCCAAAGTCGTTGGACCTGCTTTTCCAAAAATTTGAACAGTTTTTTATTTAGTCAATACAAATAAAATGTTTTTTGAATTATTCAAATCGGACGCTCCGTTCTCTTAAAAACTGAGTTACCGTTTTTGGCACTTTTTGCCCCGTATCTCCGGAACGGCTAGACCTGCCTTCTCCAAAAACTAATCAGCACGTCTCCTTATCAATACGGATCGAATGTTTTTTAAATTATTCAAATTGCTTCATCCGTGTTCCCGAAATCGTCGACGAAAATTTGTATCCGCACACACATACATACTACGCACACACACACACACACACATACATCCATTTTTTCTAAGGTATGCCAAAATGTTCAGAAACCTCTGAAACGTAAAGTTATATAAAAATTTTCATTTTCGATTTTTTTGCGATTACTATAACTTACCCTACGGGAAGTTAAAAATCTATGAAAATGAAATAACAGAGAAATATATTCGATAAGAAACTTTACAAGCCATTTCATTCAAAGTTTGGCAAAACAAGACAAACACATTTCATTCAAGGTTTATATCCATTCATAAGGCAAAACACGTGCGATGATTGTTTTTGAAATTCAATATACCTGATTAGATTTGATTTTAATTACTGCCTGTAATTTTGGGTCAAATAATTTATTGCAACATTTGTCTAAAGGTAAGCCATATATGACATTCAGTTTGAAAGATGACTTCAAAAAATATCAATTATGAATAAAAAGTTCGTTACATTTTAAATTTGTATAGACAAATTTACCAACAGTGTATTGGATATATTTCGTGAATAAGATGTTAGTCGACAAGCAGTCTGATTGCCTGTTTCTGTTCGTCACAATGCCATAGTAAAATAATGCGCAATATATTTCTGAATGATGCTATTTAATAATTCAAACGATGTCAATGAATTGTCGAAATTAGCATATAAACGATCATACGATACGATACGTATTAGTATAGAGTTTAGTTGTTTCTCTAGATTCAGCATTAGCGGAAATTTAAATCGTTGAACTATTTCAAAACTTCACGTTTGAGTTTGTTTACATCTGGAATTATTGGAAACATAATTGGTTAATCAGCAAACGGGTGATCAACCTACGCAGATAAAAATTCACTTTGATTTAAAGATCTTTAAAATCGAATATAAAATATATAATATAAAATTTTCTTAAAAAAATTGAAATTCTTGAAAAACTTTTTTTTAACTTCCCATAGGGTAAGTGATTGCAATAGGCCGAATATCGAAATTGAAAATTTTTACATTTCTCGACGTTTTGAAGGTTTCTGAACATTTTGGCATACCTCAGAAAAAATTGATGTGTGTGTGTATGTATGTATGGATACAAATTTCCAGTCACGTTTTCGGGCGCACGGATCAACCGATTTGAATGGTTCAAAAAACAATCGATTCCTATTGATAGGGAGATGAGCTGATTAGTTTTTGGCAAAGGCAGGTCCAGCAGTTACGGAGATAAAGAGCAAAGAGTGCAGAAAATAAAAATCGAGTTTTTGAGAGAACAGAGCATCCGATTTAAATGATCTAAAAAACATTCAATTAGCAATGATTGGGAGATGTGTTTATTAGTTTTTGGCAAAAGCAGGCCCAGTCATTTCGAAGATACGGAGCTAAATGTGTAAAAAATGGCAGTTTTTGAGAGATCTAAGCGTCCGATTTAAGTGATTCAAAGAACTTTCTGCTTGTCTTAACAAAATAATTGATTTTGGAAAAAAAATGTTTCAACTTTTATTTTTTTTTTCAAAAAAACTTTTTTTGTATATCGAAAATAATTCAGATTTTATTTATAATTCTGACTATAGTTCTAATATACATTAAACAAATAATTTCAACTTTGCAATTTAGTTTATATATTTCTTATAAATATTTGACAATGTTACAATATTAATAATAATCCATTTGAAAACATTCAGTATTCCTCGAACATTTCGTTACGGTACGGAAAGTTCCAGCAATTTGCCTTAAGGCGCGATGCCATACACCCCACTAGTTGAAAATTTAAAAAGCTCTAATTTTTGAAAAAAAAATGTAAAGGTGGTGGTAGTGGTTACAAAACAGTTAAAATTCTTAAATATCAATCACGTAATTAATGAAGGCGGCTTCTTGCAAAAAACTATTCTGCAGGTCTCCCCGTCAATAGGAATCGAATGGTTTTTAAGTAGCAAGTCGAATTATCTTGCCAAAAACAAATTCCTTCACACAAAACACAAAAACAATTTCTCAGAGAAATAAATCAATTTAAGATTCTACTTGTTGCAATTATACGCCATCTTCATAGTATATATTTTATAAATGAAACGCAGCATTTGTTTAGATTTCTTATCAATTTAGTTGTAAGTTGTAAAAGATGCTCTGATTATTTTCTGCAGATTCATCTTACGTTAATTACATTTTAATCTACTGCGCATACTATATATATTATCAATAATGCTGTTTGTAAATAAACAAACCAAACAACTTTGACTTCAATTAAATATTTGGATTTTGATAAAACTATCTTTTGTGATTTTTTTGAACAGCAATCAGAACTTAAGAGCCCTATAGCCATTGAGATGAAAATTTATAACTCTGAGGTTTTTAGAAGGCATCCCAACGGTTGGCCTAATTCTATTTGACATATTTTTGACAGAATTTATCTAAAATTGATGATGAACCTTGAATTTGATGTAGGTGACGGGAAAAAGGTTTTTGCACTTTGTGCATTTTAGACATATTGTAGATCTATTCTCAAGTGACAACTGATATCACTACTCTTTGATGTCAGGCTGTTCGAAATGGTGATCAAACCTGGAACCTCGGGTTGCAAAGTCAAAGCTCTCAACATTAAGCCACAAAAAAGCTACTTATTTATTCTAAACTCATCATTATTATTATCGTAATCTAGAAAATATTACATAAACACCAGCGGAGCCATGAACCTGGCATCATAGACATTGATAGACACTATAGACACATAAACGGATATTTTCAGCCCTAAAGATGGAGATAGCATTAAATTAGTTAAACAATAGGCAAATTTAAGAAAAAAAAATATTAAAAAAATTATATACATTCCTTCAGAAATTGACAATGTGATCGACCGATTTGCCACCTACTTTAAAATAATATCGTTAAAAATACCATACTTTCCTTAGTGGGTGACGTTTTCACCGGCGTGCCAGCTTTAAACCCCTCTCTACCCCAAATTATGCTCTGAATCATGTTTTCGCAAATAAAAAACTCAATCAATGATGTTTATAGTCACAATCATTATAAACTCGCAATCGTAAATAATATCTAAGGAATAAATTTCATTTTATTGATCCATTACCTCCAAATCAAACAAAAAATATACTTTAAGCCTGTTTAAATTACGATTTTATGACTCGACATTTCCAAGGCATGCAACGTGCTTTCCTGCACGTACTTCTTGTAAAACTTGCCTGATTGCACCTTACCTACATAAGATCCATTACTTATAGTGGAACCATGGGTGGATTAATTAATAGTTAGGAAACGGTAATTTAATTTGTAAAGGAAAAAACAAAATAGTGTTGAGATGATTATAAAATTTTGAGAAATAGAGTTTAGGGATGGCACACTATACAATACAATATTTACAATACAACTTCACGCATAGTTGTGAATGTTATTTTATAAAATAAATCTGTTTCTCTTCACTTAAAAGTATAAACACATATCTTTTATTGGTGACTTCTTGAATTATATTGCACTTTTGCCAGATCGGAGGTTTGTAACAATAAACTCCATATCTTGATTATTTTGGTCTATATTACATGGCAAGCGTTAAAATATTACAATATTGCAGAATCAGATCTTCAGAGAATCAAATATTTGCATTGTAGCAATATGTCCCAGGTAATTACATTCAACAAATAAGTAAAATATTGTGTTAAATACGACTAAGTTGTTACGACAATTAGATGAATTATTAAACTTAAAGAAAATTTCACTTTCCATGAAAATTTTTGCATAAATTTATGTTTCAAAGGTTTCTGAATACTTTAGCGTACATTAGAAAAAAAAGATTGATGTGTGTGTGAGCGCAAAACAAATTTGATCGTTGATTATTTTGAGAACAAGCTTCAACCGATTTGAATGATTCAAAAAAAACATCTGATTTGTATTGATAGGAAGACGTGGTGATAAGTTTTTGGAATCGACAGGTTCAGTCGTTTCGGAGATACGGTGCAAAAAGTGCCAAAAAAGGCAATTCAGTTTTTGAGAGAACGGAACGCCTAATTTGAATTGTTCAAGAAACTTTTTTGGTATT